CAAAGGAAGATTTTTTAAAGAAATATTTGGTGAGTCAATGCATCAATGTTTATGCCACCATTAGTTATATTTTTACTTCATTAGTTTTTATAACAGTTTTTTGATAAAATTTTTGAATTATTCAATTTTTCCACTTGGTGGACAATAAACAAATCAAACGAAAGTATTTCTTCAGTTAATCATTTCGATGAAAAAGCTTTTAGTCTAGTATTTGATGAACATAGTTTTTTTATTTTATAAACATTGTATCTAAGATAAACTCACTATTTTTTTTTTAAATCCTTCTTTTTTTACACTGGTTCTTGCTTGGTTGATGAATTTAAGATTCTTAAGTAACTTAAAATACTTTGAAACGTTACAATTTGGTTATCTGTGATATTTGTATCAAAATCAGGGGAAAACAAATCAAAATGCCCAGTAGTCTAGGAAGTAGATTTAAGTTGTTTCGAACGAGGATGGTAGACATGGGCTTGATATTGATTCCCTATATGTCAATAATAAACTAAAACACGTGTTTTTGTTTATTATTGAAATGTAGTGAAGAATTGTTAATTTCAATTGTGCTTTTTGTAACTGAACTTTTACCTAAAATAATGTCATAATTTTTAATAACTTTTTAAGTGTTTTGTTTGATATAAACATTATGTTTGAATATTATTGACTAATTCTTGTAGACCAGAAAGAATTGGACTTTGTAAGATTATAGCGTCTGCATAAGCGATAATGACAGTGTATATGCCATTTCCTGTTGTTCCAACTTTGCAATCTGTAACAATTTGACTTACTTACAGTGTAGATATTGTATAAATGTGACAATAAAATGGATTCTTTTTACAGGCCATAAACGGAAATGGTTTGATTTATGGCGAAGGTATGATATATTAGTAGTACCTGAGCGGTATAATGATTGTAATCCGCGAACTGCTGATAATGTTATTTTTTTGTTGTAATAAAGTTTTTCAAACAACAAGTCCAAGTTACAGCTTTCGAAGCGCTTATTTGCACTTATTGTATTTTATTGTTTCATTTAAAAGGAATTCTGTATTTCATCAGGCTCATTTATGAGTTGTGGAATATGACGTCGTTCGTAATTGTTGTTTGTATTTGTGGCAATGTTGAGGGATGCGTTAAGGTTTTATCCAAGTTCTTCTAGAATTTCTTTTCTATCTTTTTTTTATTATAAGTAAAAAAAACAAGCGTTTGAAGTTGAAACGAGTGTTTGAAGTTTTGAAAAAATTATTCTCAAGTTTTTGGGAGTCAGTTTTCTGAAAATATTCAATTTTTTTGTTTGTTGTTTACTCATGTTTAAATGTGAAGGAGGAATAGTTTGAAAAATAGTGAAGCAAATTGTGAATTCTTTTAAGACTGAATTGTGATCGATATAACATGAGCTATTCAGTGTTTAATGTATATAGGTGTAAATTGAACCACTAATATATATTAAAAAAGAGCTCATTTAGTTCAAGAAAATTAGATTAATGCTTTGAAAAGTAGTTTCATGTTTGGTGGTTTTGGACTTTCTAATCCTATATATTCTCAGAAAATGACTCGAAATCGCTGACAATTATACATTTTTCTTCACCTATATACGTTATAATGATGAAGGTAATCACAATAAGGATACAGAAGTATTTTTGTATAAAGTAAGCTAACTTTCAATAAAAATCAAGAATGTGCATGAATGTCTTAATCTTTGTGTATTTTCCAGGTTCAAAACGAGCTTTTGACATATTTCGCGTCACGGTATCGAAGGAGGTGTGAACTTCCTGGTTAATTGCACTTCCGCAATGCTCTGTGACAAGACCGTTAGGACTTGTTAGAGCACCTAAATAACAAATTTAAAAATTCTCAACTTTCACTTTTGTTGCATTAATGAATCAACTTCTAACGGTATATTGTGGATTTTTACTTGAACTATCTTGTCAATATTGTGGATTTTTACTTGATGAATCATTAACTGAGTTCTTTAAAAATTTACCAACACTAGAAAGTAGTATAACTGTACAATCAAAGATGTCTCTTGTTTATATTGCCGGAAATGTGTTTCAAAATGATGATTTAGTTAACGAAAATAAAATTTTGACCAAAGCAATGTTTTGTCTAAAATCAGTCTATAGAGGTGAGTTAAAAGTTCCTTTTGATAATACTGTTTAATAGGTTTTCTTAAATCTATTAAAGATAAAGTTTGTTAGACATCCCTGTGCAACACTTTTACGCTTATATCGGAGCATTACTTTTTTGATATAGAATGATACCATGGTATATTCTGCTAAATCTTTTTATCAAAAACCACTGCAAACTTTATACACCAAAATCAAACAAAGAACCATTTCTGAAAATTTGATAAGTTGACAGTTATTTATTGACACTTTTGTTGTTATTTTTGTTGTTGAAATTCGCTTGTTACTTTAAAGTTTACGACTTTAATTTATATTAATTCAACGTCTTTTCTCTTCTTCGTCTCTTGGAAATATATAAGCTGACATTTTAGATTCGTTTAACTTTTTTTTCTGTAATAAGTGATTCGTAGAACAGCCATTAACTCAGCTTTTTTCAACTAACCAAGTAAAGTATAACCATAAACGAATCAGATAAGTTTTTTTAGGTTTTCCGTGTTGAACTTATAGAGGCATAGTTATTAGACTGTTTGAGGAATAGGTTATAAAAGTTAATATCGGTCCCCACATTCTTTTTTTAATTTTGCGTTTCACAGCCTGTTACTTAAAGAGCGCCATCGTTTATGACGTGGGGTTGAGTTTTATTGACGATTTATTTTTATTATTTTGAAATATCATTTCAATTCCGAAACTTTCACGAAAATTTTTAAACTGTTTAACAATAATGTTATGGTCCCAAACTTCTGGTTTTAAAACAATGCGTTTTTCATTACTTTTTATTTTAAAATTTTTTATTTTACTGTTATTTTAAAAGCGTGGTTACATTTATTTGACCGGTTGAGTGTGACAGCAATCGGCACGACGCCTACTTCTTTCTTTATGAAATCAGACAAAAGATTTTCTATAGAATTACAAACTCCTTCAAGAAATATAAAAAATTCTCAAACAATACGGCTTCCTGCAAATGCAAATGAAAATGCTTAAATAACAAACCATTTTTTAATTCTTTTATTTTTAAAAGTTTTAACTCAATTGAGAAATTCAATTGAGTTTCTTGAAAAATATTTAAATTTTCATTAGATAAGTTATCAATAATACCTTTCTGAAAAGGGTCAAAGTTTAAATTTTTAAAATCTTTATTGAAAGAATACTCTGCCATTCTCATTTTTAAAAGTAGATAAATATGATTATAAATGATTTAAAATATTTTAAGTTTAAATATAGAGCAATAAATCAATCTGATCCAGGTTTTGGATTTTGCGCGTTACGAGTATTTTTTTGTTTAACATCATCTACATCGAGCGTTTATAAACAACTGTGAAAAACGTTTATAAACCACTTTTAGAAGCTTTTCACTAAAGAGTTTTTCAACCTTTTTTTGTTGTTGTTGTGAATTCTCACTCTTTTTAATGGTTAAAATTATTTTTTTATTTGTCAAAAATTGCTCCCCAAATATAGTCATTTAATCTAACTAGAAAATAAACTTGCCACCGTTTATGTTATTTTCTATTGTTCAGAACATCTGTCAAATTAAAAACAGTTATTAGATTTCTCATAATTCACATGCAAATATTTCTTAAAAAGAGTTGCCATGTAAGAGTTACATTTATTTGTGTATTCTTTAGTTTAAATCTAATATTTTAAAAAGATAAAACTTGTTATCGAATACAAAAAGCAAGAATTTTGGAGTTTTGCAGGTTACCGATAAAACTAACTCAAAGACGACTAGTTTTCAAACAACCGCTAATTTTCAGCTAAGCAATTTAATAAACTCAAAAAGTGCATCTTTTTTTTTTAAGTTGACCCTATTAACAGTTTTGCAAAAATTTCAAATAAAAAGTTGCAACTTGATGCAGAATTATTAATAACTATTTTTAAATAACTGAACAACAGCAATACAGTAATTAAATTTTTATAGTAATTAGACAAATACAGTACATTTGCCGAATTATTGTAAGAGTTTAATTACTGTATTGTTCATACATTTTTTTCTAAACTGTATCACCATATAACTGAGTGTGTAATCCTTTTTGCGAAATATGTGCCAGCACTACGTTGATTGAACACATTTCAATAAACAAGCTCTCAAAAATTCTCGCCATTGATTGGCCTACCTATGAATCTATATACTAGCCGTGAATTGTTAAATTTATTTTTAACATTAGCAACCGTGGCGCAGTGATTTGTGTTCTGAATCAAAACTATGAGGATCGTGGTTCGATGCCCAATAAATAATTCTAGCCCAATAAGCGACATTGGTAAGGAAGGAGGAGTGACCTTCCTGGTTAAACGCCCTACATAGTGAATTTTGATCCACAAGCTTTTAACAAATATTTTTAGCTTAATATTTGTTAAAAAATTCTTCATTTACATCAGAGGTTTAGATATATTAAAAAACAAAATGTAAAATTCGTTTAGACTATTTTTTTCTTTATTTATTGATTTGTTGTTAATTTTAAACGTTCTAAAAAGCGTGGATTGCTGATTTTTTTTTTTTATTAAAGCAATTTTTTATTAACAACATAGAATATGTAAATAAGTCAGATTTTAAAAAAATAATAACAACGTTTTTTTTTTTTTGCCGCCTTCCCCGAAATTTCGAAAGGTGAATTTTGGCCTACAAAATCCATTTTTGTGGATCGAAATTTACTTTTTTGGATTCACAAAAAACATTTTTTGATTTAACCTTGGATCAAAAAATGGCAATCTGAAAGAGGTTTTCGCACATATCGCAATAATATATTTTTTATTAATAACAAAGAATTTTCTTGCTTAGAAGTATGTAGGAAATTAAAATTTAAATCTAGCTGATAGCTTTGCTACCCTTATTGCAATCCAAATATTTGCGACCAGAATATAAAAATAGTTTCAAAAAATACTAAGATGAGTGAAGAAAGCCGCTATTCTTAATGAAAATCGCTTCACGGGAACGCCGGGGAGGCGTGATAATTTTAAATGAAGCTTTTCAACGGAAGTAAAACGAAACTCGACTGGATTATACTTTTTTAGCATTAAGTGTAAGTTAGGGATCACTAAACTTTCTTCAGTTTTAAAGAATATATCAAACTTAAAAGATTTTTATTTTTATTTTAAAAATTATATAAAAAACAATATAGCATGTTTGAAATTCGGTATTTAAGTTGTATCAGCAAAATATTTTAGTATGATATTCAATTTAGGCAATGTGTTTACAAGAAGAAGTCGGACCATCTATTCGTGAATGCATTTCCGTATCTTACCTATAATTGATTATATTTAGGTATTTTCAGTATCAATCTTTTAACAACTTAATGGCTGAGCCAAAAGTTTTGAAACTTTATAGTCCAGCCTACGGAGAACCTATTTATTACAAATGGCCGTTAGCTTTAACTGTAAGTACTTTTTACCTTTGTAATTTTATGTAAGTTAAATATTTATATAATAAATAAATAAATAGCTTATGAGGGCCTAAATTAATTTGCTCTTTGAAAAAATTATTTTAGACCTTACATATATATATATATATATATATATATATATATATATATATATATATATATATATATATATATATATATATATATATATATATATATATATATATATATATATATATATATATATATATATATATATATATATATATATACACATATAACAATAAACTTGTGTTTGGATTAGCTATAAGACGTCACACTAAAACAGCCCTATATCTCAGGGGTTTTAAAGTGAAAAACCCTATTTGAAACTGGTTTTAAAATGTCCCTGCTGTATTATTATGAAAATCAAAAGTGCTTCTAAATGTTCTTGCTATAATATTACAGTTTTTCTGTTATTTCTCATGGAGAAAACTCCGATCCAGAATTGTTAGAGTTAGGTTTATGGAAGGAATTGCCTGTATTGGTCAATGCTCTAAGTTCTAGTGGTAATTCCTAAGAGAATGAAAATTCTGAATTGTTGTACCCACCTAAATGGACATCAGAACCTCCAATTAATAGAGTTCAACTCTTCGAATTTACCAGTTTTTCTGGGTACAACCAGATATGATCCACTTTATTTATTTGAACATTATTTCATAGATAAAATGTGTAAGTTTATTGAAATGAAGTTTAATAGGTTTGTTTCTCAAGCTACCAAATAAAAAACAATTATCAGCACAATCCAGAATAAAGCGATGGTTGCCTATTACATTTCTAGATACCAAGCAGTATATTGCAATTTTTCAATATCATGGAGTACTTTGGAAGCCTAAATATGAAATGTATTTTATTACAAATCCATTATTTGCAAGAATTGGTATCAGATGGTTATTATGTTTTAATAAGTTCGAGTCGATCGACATGTTTATTTATTTTGTTGATCCTATTACATTACCAAACAAACACCCTGTTCTATCCAATATAAGCATAGTATGGAATTATCTGACCAAGAGGTGTATACACCTGCATAAAATATTTTCACTTTTGTTGTGGAAAGGTGGACTTTGTTGTGAAGAGTGTATTCCTTGCAAAAGTGCCAGATAAAAGCATTATTATAGTATGAGTTAATCTGAAATGAAAATTTCAGATCATCTCTATGTTACAAAAAAGTTGTGATGTTTCTTATGGATGAAGTGGATAGCAAAAGTATGAAAAAGTGGTACAAGAATGTATTTACATGTTAATTAATCTAGCAGCATTTAATGCACAAAAAAGTTGTATGAAAATGGTTTTTAATATATATTTGTTTTAAACTTTAGAATATAGATAATAACATCAATGATACAACGGTATAGTCAACAGCTAACAAAAATTCACTCTAGATCTAGTGTGTTAAGTGGTTCCAAACCAAATGATTCGAGATTTGAATGTAATGATTGTTATGTTTGACTTTGTTTCCAGGCGTGACGAATCCTACGAAAAGAAATTATTATTAAGTACCTGTATTTATCGATTTAAATAAATTTAGGCAATTTTTTATATACCTGATTTTGATGCTCTAGAAACCTTGATGATATCAAAAAAAGAAAAAAAAAAAAAAGAAATCATACATCATTCTATATTTATTGATTTTCAGAAAACATAAGAATTTTGATATGCATTTGCAAAATTAAAGAAACTACCAAGGTTGCTCTTTTTTTATTAATTATCATTATTAATTCATAGTACTTTTTTTTTTTTTTTTTTTTTGAATGGTACTTTTTAATGGCAACAGAACATTTTGAGGCAATTGATTTATAAGTAGTCAATGACTTCTTTACCACAGCCACCACTGCAATAAAACCAATAACTCTTAATGTCTGACCATTAAAATTTAAATCAACACAAACAATTTCCAATTTATGAAACTCAGATGGTATATCCACATTTGTATATTGTATTAAACTGAAAAAATATTGCTACTATGCTACATTCACTACTTCTGTCACAGCGAAGGACAGTATTCAAAACATAGTAGACTATGAGGTAGATTGTTATTTAACCAAGTTTCTACAATACAAGGTTGTGAGAATAAACCAAAAAGCTGGAATTCCAGTCTTTCACAGGAAGTCACAGGAAAAAGTTAAATTAATTAAATCAAAACTTCTTAAGAAATGTTTTTATATTAGCAAAAAGTTTTTGAATAAAGAAACAATTTTCTGATGTTTTTTTTTTTAAAATATAATTGACAGTTATATTTTTTAAATTTATAATATATAAATTGTTTAAGTGTGCATTTCTATAATAAACGTTATCAAAAAATAAAAAATTGTTTTGTTTTCATAAACGATGATATTCTACAACAACAAAAGTCTCTTTAACAAATTTTAATATAAGAATAATTAAAGTTAATACATTTAAAAAGATAAACAAACTTTTGTTGAAAAAAAAAGACAAATGTTCTAGAAAGTCGTTTCAATTAAATAAGTTTGATCTTAAATGCTTTTATATTATCGAAACGCTTTTCAATGAAGTAACAAAACACTTCCATATGAATTTTTAAAATAAATATTAATAAATTTTTTTTTTTTTAAATTTATATAATTATGTATTTCTTATAAAAAATATTTATCTTTTGAAACATTAAATAAAAAAAAACAAAGTACAAATGTTAAGACAAAGAATGAAACGGTTTTTTAATGCATAAAATAAATAGACTAAGCATTTTAGTTTTATGAGTTTTGTTTTAGTTAGTACTTGTTGTATATCTCATTGCACTGTGAACTCGATTACTTTCGGAATCCTAGTTTTATCAGGGTTAGCATAGACATCTTTAAATTTATCATTTAGCACACAGTTTGCATGTCAAGTTTAGTTTTAAATTGACCAACTCCTTGTTTTTCAGTTCAACTAGAATCATTTTTGGTGCTTTTCTTTCTGTCCCAGATTTATTCTAAATGATTTTGGGTTCATTTTTTCATTTATGTATAGTACAGATAATATTTCTCTAACTAGCTGATTATCTTTATTTTAAATTTCAGCCTCAGATCCATGAAATGGTTCAATGTTGCTTAGTACAATGTTGGTCTCATTAAGTTCCTATTTCATCTTAGTGATCATGATAAGCTATTCTTCAGGGTTTTTTTTACTGAACTTTTTACTGAGGTAAATATGGCTATAGATTGTTTAATTGGTGGGTTAGGATTACATGTCAAAATGTTTGAATTTTTTGTTAATGTGATTTTTTCCTCCAGGTCTACTCTATTCATAATTGTTTGATAGATTATTTGATATTTTAGTAGATTGTTTAATATTTTTTTTGATCAGTGGTTTCCAAAAATTTTACTCGGTTCAACATGGTGGTGTGCTGTTCCTGTAACAACTTTATAGCTATTGTTAATGATCTAATCCAGTCATGGTGTTGTATTGTTGATGTTTTATGACTTCTTTGTCCTAGACTAGGCTAATTTGACATCAAAACAATTAGATTGTCTGTTTGTATTATTTTAATTTTCAGAAAAGAGGGCTACCACCCTAAATAACAGTGCATTACTTCGTTGTCGTAAATTATTAAATTTAATTAGTTTACTTGTTACCATACTATAGAACTAAAGTTTCTGTGTTTTTTCCAATATATATACATGCATACATACATACATACATACATACATACATACATACATACATACATACATACATACATACATACATATATACATACATACATACATACATACATACATACATACATACATACATACATGAACTAAGGTAAAAAACAAGCTTGTTTTATATATAGAACGTTAAATAATAATTGTTATATAAAATAAGTTTTATATAAAATAAGTATTATTGATGAATTATAGCAGTAATACTGATAGAAAACATAATTTTAGTTTAAAAAATTTTTTTTAGTTTTTTGTTGTCGTTTTTTAAAAAAAAAAAAAGAGTTTAAACCAAAAAACCATGGTTTTATTGGTTTTCTAAAAAAAAAGGTTTTTAGTGTGTTTTTTTTAGAAAAGGTTTTTTTTAACCGTGCTTAAAGATATAATTTTCTATATTAAAGGGGTATGTGATATACTCTAAAGGTAGAAATTTGTCCTATTTTATAAGTGTGTAGTCAATTATTTCTTCATCTTCACAAAATTTTGGTTGTTGTTTTTTATAGTGTACATCAGTTATTGCTAAATGTAAACTGTGGCTATATAAGAGTTGAGATATGTTCCATACTTGACCATAGTAGTGGCTCTATCATGAGTTAATGATATTATATCTGTATTGATATCAATTTCAAATTTCTCTAATTTTCTTTGTTCTGCATTACATGCTATTTTTATGTGAACTAAATCTAGAATATCTAATTTAAATTTTTTCATTTAATTATTGACAAAAGTGTAACATTAAGGTATCCTGTTTCAATTTTCAGGGATCAAATTAAGTGTATTGCAATCATGATTTGCGATTGCTTTCCACACCTTTGTGATAAGTTTTTTTTTTCTTAAATATTTTTGCAATTTTTTTTTTTTGTTTTTTTTTTTGTTTTTTTTTGTTTTTTTATTAATTTTTTTTTAAATTTAACATTATTTTCGGCCATTCTTAAAAGTAATGTTTTTGTTTTATTTTTTTTATTAGAGGTCAACTTTTTCTTTTTTCTTTTGAATAGAAGTATGATCATTTGTTATCTTGCACGGAGATTTCTATTCAACATAAAGTGTTTTTGAATTTTAAAATTTCTGCATATAAGCCAATAATATTTTTAAGTTATATTTAGTTTGATTTACTGAACGGATAAAGTACATCACAGTAAATTTACCTTTAAACTAAATCAAAACAACCAGTTACTACAGTAATTTACAGTCAACTAATAACTATTACAGTTACTCAACTTTATTAAATTTACTTAATATGCTCAAAGAATTGCAAAATTTAGCCATACAAATGTTTCTATTTATATCTTATGTTGTAAAAGGATATCAAGATATTGACGGATAGTG